TGCCATTAAAGTTGATCCTGATGGCATTCCTATAGTCTCTGATGGAAAAACTATTCCAGATGCTGTTAATCAATTAATCTTCACCATTATCCAACATTTCATTGGTGATCCATCCTTATGGAAAGATCGTTCTGCTGAACTCCTATCCAATCTTAAATGTAGAACCTTAGGTGACTTTCGCTGGTATAAAGATACCTTCCTAACTAGGGTTTACACTCGAGATGATAGTCAACAACCTTTCTGGAAAGAAAAATTCTTAGCTGGTCTTCCAAAATCTTTAGGAGACAAAGTTAGGGATAAAATCCGTCATCAATCTCTAACTGGAGATATCCCTTATGAGCAATTAAGTTATGGACAATTAGTTGCTTATATCCAAAAGGTAGCTTTAAAAATCTGTCAAGATGATAAAATCCAACGTCAACTTGCAAAAGAAAAAACTCAAAATCGTAAAGATCTAGGATCATTTTGTGAACAATTTGGTCTGCCTTGTACTACAAAACCTAAAAAACATAAAAAACAGGAACAAAAACAGGTTAAAACTTTTAGGAATTTTCGTAAGAAACCCAATTACAATAAAAGGTTTAAAAATGAAAATCCTAAGCCAAATACTGAAACAAATAAATCACAAAATACATTCAAACCAATTAAGCCAACTATTTGCTACAGCTGTGGTAAACCTGGACATATTAGTAAATATTGTAGGCTTAAGAAAAAACTAAATAACCTAAACCTTGATCCTTCTATTGAAGAACAAATCAATAATCTTCTAATCCAGTCCTCGGATGAAGAATCTGGAAAAGAATCCTCAGAAGATTTAAACCAAATTCATGAAGATGATCTATCTTCTAGTGAGGACTCACAATCCTTGCAAGAAATTAATGTCTTGACTAAAGAACAAGATCTTTTGTTCGAAGTCATAGATTCAATCAGTGATCCCCATGAAAAGAAAGCTTACTTAGCAAAATTAAAATCATCCTTGGAAACCAGTTCTTCTAAATCTAAAGAGTTGTTGGTTCCTAATAAGTTTAATCTTAAAGATACCCTTAAAAAACTTGAAAAGAGTATTACTGTCAAACCTATAACTGTCCAAGATCTTCAGTATGAGATCAATATTCTCAAAACTGAAGTTAAACAAATCAAAGAACAACAACAAACTCATCAGAACATCCTTCTTCAATTACAAAATGAAGAATCAACGGGAACGAGTATGGAAAATACTCTGTCTAAACCAGATGAAGATAAGAATCTTAAAGACGAAGAATTTTTAGGATTAATTAATCAATTAACAATTCAAAAATTCTATATCCCAATCAAACTCAATGTAGGTAATTTTGACCTTGAAATTGAAGCTCTGTTTGACACAGGGGCAGATTCAAACTGCATTCAAGAAGGTCTAATTCCTACTAAATATTTTGAAAAGACTTCTGAACGGCTTAGTACTGCTAGTGGTTCAAAACTTCAGGTTAATTATAAACTTCCGAAAACAATCATCCTCATTTTGGTAGAAGTCTTCTGTTGAAGAAGAGATAGAAGGAGATGAAGAACCTGTCTTCTGTTTAGAACTCTCAGCTTCTTCTTGGAGTAATTGTAGCATATATATATATATATATGTATGTATCTAGGTTATGTTAATACATTCCGCTATTTCCGCAACCGCAACCTGTTATAGCGCTATAGTGTTTTTCAGGGTTTGCCGCAACCGGCCGCAATCCGCTTTTAACTACCATGTGTGTGATGCTAGTGATTGTGCAATAGGTGCAGTCTTAGGTCAAAGAAAAGATAAACTTTTGCATGTTATATATTATGCTAGTAAAGTTCTGAATGAAGCACAGGCAGATAGCTTTCCAAGAGTACATGTGTGTGAGGATGGCAGATTTATGCCAGCAGAGAGATATCATTGCACCGTCATTCAAGCATCCAGCGTACTCCGATCAGATGAGGAGGACGCATTCATGGCCTCTACACGGCTAGATGCTGCTACTGCTGAGATGACTGCGGACACTACACAAGCCGCTGCTGCTACTGATGATGCTCATGATACCTAGGATCCAGTTGTTGATCGATAACTCTCTATAAGAGAGTTATTTTGGGCTTAATTGTGATATTTTGGTGCTATGATTACATATAATTCTCTTGATTATATATAATTAATGCATGAATTCTATGATTTCATGATTTAATTGAGAGTTATGTTAATTATGTATATTTGGATATAAATGAAGTATTGGAAACATTTAAATGCATTTGTTATTTTACTGCAGGTCAATGCTCTAGCATCAAAAAGATATGTTGTAGCAGTGTAGCTGAGGTCAGCAAGACAAATTGTTGACATCATCACCAGCAAGCTATGGATCCAAGTCTAATTTGATGGAAGAAGCTTCTGAACGTGTAATCAAAGACCTGATCTGGATACGCGCTCAAAGACATTCAAGAAATAACAATCCAATCTTCATCAAATCAACGATAACAAATCCAATTCAGATTTGAATCACAAATTTGGAAAGAATTTGATGAGATATGCAGCAGCATGCTCTGTCAGCATTACAATAAAACAGAGTCCTATGCTCATTCAATCACAAGGCAGATTTGAGTGAAGATTTGCATGGATATGAAGAGCTGATTGAAGCCCAGAATATCAAAGTATATAAAGGAACGAACCCTACACACAGAAGACATGCTGGATATGTTTTAGACACCCAAATTAAAGTCAAATTTTAGAGAGAGAAAGTGGGGAAACACTTGGACGAATTTGAGGGTTCGTTGAGAGAAATCCAGCGAATCAAAAGGAGGAGGTAGGGTTCGATTGAGAAATCATTGAACCCAGTAACTTGCTGCATTATTCCGGCGGCTGAGGCAAAGTTGATGGTGGTGGAGCTCATGGTTGCTGCGATAGCAGTGCTACAGCAATGTCCCTGCTTTCTTTACTTTAGCTTTATGAAATCCTATTCTTTCTTTGTTGTTTTTCTCCACCCAATTATGGGCTAAATTGTTAGGATTGGGTGATAGAGTACCCTTATTGTGATGTAAACAATATTGCCTAAAGTTTGTTGCATGATTTTCCTTTCAGTTGCTTAATAAAGTGTTAAATTGTCTCTAATCTTGTTGATTCATCGAGAGAGGGTTGCAAAGTACTTAGGATTTAGGCTACAGAGATATAGGTGAATCCTGAATATTATTAAGCATTGTGGTTTAACTAAGTAAAATTAGTTAATTGTGGTAGAGAGATCACTTGCACCACAAAATCATATGGAACTTGAACTTAATGAATTCATAACTTTGTTGGCCATAGAGATGAGGGACTTAATATACATGTATTGTTCGTGAGAACCCTTGCATGCATTAATTTTTTGATTACTGAATGGATGATTGTTGTAGCATGGTTACTGCATTCTGGTGAAATTGATCCCAATCTATCTTTAAACACTTAGAAAACTTATTTTGTTACTGCATTTTCTTAGTTAACCATTAGTCTTAGTTTATTTAATTTCTTAATTGTTAAATTAGTCATTAGCCACTCACAAATCATCTTTGTTACCTTGATTGCTTCACTTAGAGCTATAGCTTTACTTAATCTCTGTGGAAACGATATCTGGACTCACATATTCAATTTATTACTTGATGACACATGCACTTGCGTTAAAGTGTGATTGATAAAAGGGGACATAATTGCACAACAAGTTTTTGGCACCGTTGCTGGGGATTATTATAAAGCTATTTTCTGTTTGTGAAGTAATATTTAATCTTTTCTTCTTTCTGTTCTATCAGGTACTCCAGCTAGTTTATGAACATCCTCCCTAATCAGCCAGAAGTTGCATTTGATCCAGAGGTTGAAAGAACTTTTCTAGCAAGGAGAACGAGGCAGAGACAGAACAAAGCTGTAGCAATACCCAAAACTGCAGACATGGAAGTAGAATGATCTATGAATGGGGATGAACGAGCTGAGATGCCTATTAGATCACATAGAGTTCCCACTCTCAACAATCTCTACTCGGGGATTGTACAACCTGATGTTGCAGCAGCAAACTTTGAGCTGAAACCAGTGACGTTCAGCATGCTGCAAATAATTGGCCAGTTAAATGGAATGCCTAGTGATGATCCACATCTGCATTTGAAGAACTTCATGGACGTGGCAGATAACTTCAAAATACAAGGAGTCACAACTGATGCATTAAGGTTGAAGCTATTCCCTTATTCACTAGCCAACAGGGCTAGGACTTGTTTGAGCACTTTAGCCCCTAATTCAATAAGAAGATGAGATGATTTGGCTGAGAAATTCTTAGTCAAGTTCTTCCCTCCAGTCAAGGCAGCTCAACTAAGAAGTGGGATCACATCTTTTCAGCAGAAAGAAGGAGAATCACTATATGAAAGCTGGGATAGATTCAAAGAATTGCTTCGGAAATGCCCTAACCATGGCATACCATAATGGCTTCAAATGAAAACCTTCTACAATGGGCTGAATGAGCAAACCCGTGGCATAGTAGATGCATCATATGGAGGATCTCTCTTGGACAAGACATTTACATAAGCTTACCAGATTCTGGAGAGGATGGCAAACAACAATTATCAAAGGCCATCTGAGAGGATAATTGCACAGCAGAAGGCTGCAGGAGTGCTGGAGTTGGATGCTATATCAGCATTATCAGCACATATATCTTCTTTGACTAATACTATTAAAACTCTAAATCTGAACACTGATGCTAAAGCATAGCCACAACAAGTACATGCAATTTCTAATACTTCTAAATGGTTCTCATAGTTATGATGATTGCCCTAAAAACCCTCAATCTGTATTTTTAGTAGGAAATTATAACATGAGCAATCAATATTCAAATTCCTACAATCAAGGATGGAGGAATGGTAATAACTTTCCCTATTCTCAAGGGCAATACCAAGGATCAGGCTATGCTCCAGCACAACAGATGCAAAGGCCACCATTCCAACAGCAACAACAATTCCAACAGCCTAGATAGCAAGCTGACAACTCTAGCTTGTTGGAGAATATGCTGAAGGATTTCATGGCAAGGAATGATGCCATTGTTCAGAGTCAATCAGCATCAATAAAGAATTTGGAGAATCAAGTAGGACAGTTAGCTGATGCCATGAGAAGCGGACCCATAGGCACACTGCCTAGCAACACTGGAAATCCAAGAAGAGAAGGGAGTGAGCAGATCAAGGCCATAACATTGAGGAATGGGAAAACAGTAGATGAACCAGACCATATAAAAGACTATCACAAGATGAAGGAGCTAGAAAGCCAGAATGCAGGAGAGAAGGTTGTTGTGGAAGAAGATGTTGGAGAGCAACAGGTTGACACTCAGACCAAAAGTCTAGAACAGAATGCAGCAGCAAAGAAGCAGTATAGTCAGCCTGCTGACAAAGCAAGTAGACCACCACCTCCTTTTCCTCAGAGGTTCATGGATGTGCTAGAGCAATTACATATCAATGTTCCATTGGTAGAAGCTCTTGAGCAAATGCCTAGCTATGCAAAGTTCATGAAAGACATCTTGTCAAGAAAAAAGGATTCAAAGAGTATGAGACAATAGCTCTCACCCAAGAAAGTAACAGGTTCTTGAACAAGTTTCCACCTAAAGTAACAGGTACCTCTTTTCTTGGGTAGACCATTCCTAGCTACTGGAAGAAATCTCATTGATGTTGAAAAATGAGATCTGACTATGAGAGTCAATGATGAGAAAATAACCTTTAATGTGTTAAATGCTATGAAATATTCAAGTCAAATGGAGGAGTGCTCTGCCATAGAAGATGCTGACGAACCACTGCTACAGCAACATGAACCAGAAATTGAGAAAGAGCCACTGGAGATTGTCATAGCAAAATAAGGTGCAATTGACAAAGAAGAGGTGGAAGCATGTTTAGCCTGGATAGATGCCCAATCAAAGATTCCATTCAAAGAGAGACACTTTAAGTCTCTGAATTTGCAAGAAAGAAAAGCACAACCACCAAAGCCTTCAATTGAAGAACCACCACTGCTGGAGCTTAAGCCACTGCCTGATCACTTGAGATATGCATACTTGGGGGAGAATGATACTCTGCCCGTAATAATTTCATCTCATTTGACCAAGTTGCAGGAGGGGCAGTTGCTAGATATATTGAAGAAACACAAGACAACCTTGGGGTGGACCATTGCAGATATAAAAGGAATAAGTCCCTCACTGTGTATGCATAAAATTTTGCTGGAGGAAGGCTACAACAGTACTGTACAGCATCAGAGGAGGCTGAATCCTATGATGAAAGAGGTTGTGAAGAAAAAAGTTATAAAATGGCTAGATGCAAGAGTAATATACCCTATTTCAGATAGCCAATGGGTGAGTCCAGTTCAATGTGTTCCAAAAACAGGAGGAATTACAGTGGTAGAAAATGAAAATAATGAGTTAATATCTACAAGGACTGTAACAGGATGGAGAATCTGCATGGACTATAGGAAGTTGAATGATACAACAAGGAAGGATCACTTCCCCTTGCCATTTATTGATCAAATGTTGGATAGACTTGCAGGCAAGGAGTTTTACTGCTTCTTAGATGGGTATTCAGGCTATAATCAGATTGCTATAGCACCTGAAGACCAGGACAAGACTACATTCATATGTCCTTATGGAACCTTTGCATTTATAAGGATGCCATTTGGACTGGGTAATGCTCCAGCAACCTTCCAGTGTTGCATGATGGCTATATTCACAGACATGGTGGAAGACTTTGTAGAAATATTCATGGATGATTTCTCAGTTTTTGGGGAGTCATTTGATTCATGTCTTGCCAACCTATCAGATGTACTTCAGAGACGTGAAGATACTAATCTTATACTTAATTAGGAAAAATGTCATTTCATGGTAAGAGAAGGCATAGTCTTGGATCATAAGATATCAAAGGAAGGACTTGAAGTGGATAAAGCCAAGGTTTCAGTGATTGAGAAGTTGCTCATGCCCATTAATGTGAAAGGAATCAGAAGCTTCTTGGGGCATGCTGGATTCTATAGAAGGTTCATTAAGGACTTCTCAAAAATTTCAAGGCCATTTTGCAGATAGCTGGAGTAGAATATACCCTTCATGGTGGATGAGGATTGCAAAGCAGCCTTTGAAGAACTGAAAAATAGACTCATCACATCACCTATCATAGTTACTCCTGACTGGAGTCTACCATTTGAAATGATGTGTGATGCTAGTGAACATGCTATTGGAGTAGTGCTAGGACAAAGATACAATAAAGTGTTTCATCCCATTTTCTATGCTAGCAAAACACTCACTGAAGCTTAATTTAATTATACAATCACTGAAAAAGAATTACTAGCTATTGTTTATGCTTTTGAAAAGTTTAGATCTTATTTGTTTGGTGCTAAAGTGACTATTTTCACTTACCATGCAGCAATCAAGTACTTAGTGGACAAGAATGACTCAAAACTGAGGCTCATTAGGTGGATGATCTTGCTACAAGAGTTTGATTTGGAGAAAAAAGACAAAAAAAGGCACAGAAAATCAAGTGGCAGATCACTTATCAAGGCTGAATGATGGTAAAGCAGATAAGCTTGAAGAGCAAATCAAGGATGCATTTCCAGATGAGCAACTCTTTGTTATTACCATTGCTATAGCACCGTGGTATGCTGATATTGCAAACTACATAGTGAGTGGAATTCTGCCCAACAACATGAGTTCACAACAAAGAAATAGGTTTATCCATGACTGTAAATACTATCTTTGGGATGAGCCTTACCTATTCAAGAGATGCCCTGATCAAATCATAAGAAGATGTGTACCTGAAGGAGAAATACGAGTCATATTGGAGCATTGCCATTCATCTCCATATCGAGGCCACTATGCTAGAGTCAGGACTGCAGCAAAGATTTTACAATCTGGATTTTATTGGCCTAACATTTCTAAAGATTCACATTCTTTTGTTTCAGGTTGTGATAGATGCTAGAGGACTGGGAATGTATCAAGAAGACATGATATGCCCTTCAATCCTATTCTTGAAGTGGAGTTGTTTGATGTTTGGGGGCTGAACTTCATAGGACCATTCCCACCATCATTTGGGAATCAATATATTCTAGTTGTTGTGGACTGTGTGTCCAAGTGGGTGGAAGCCGTGGCACTGCCCACCAATGATTCAAAAGTGGTGTTGAAGTTCCTCAAGAAAAACATCTTCACAAGGTTTGGTACACCAAGGGCAATTATAAGTGATGAAGGCACCCATTTTTGCAGTAAACAATTTGAACATTTGTTAGCAAAATATGGGGTGAGACAGAAGATTGCTACAACATACCACCCTCAGACTAGTGGGCAGGTTGAAGTGTCCGATAGAAATATCAAGAGAATATTGGAGAAGATGGTAAATCCTACAAAGAGAGACTGGTCACTAAGGTTGGATGACTCTTTATAGGCATATAGGACTGCTTACAAGACTGCCTTAGGTGCATCACCATTCAGGATTGTGTATGGGATGGCATGTCATCTCTTTGAGGAGCTAGAGCATAGTGCTTATTGGGCAATAACCAAGCTGAACTTAGATGTTAAAGCAACAAGGGAAAATAGAATGCTGCAGCTTAATGAGCTTGATGAATTTAGGCTGGATTCATATAAAAATGCCAAGGTTTATAAAGAAAAGATGAAAAAATGGCATTACAAGAATATTCTGCATAGGAGCTTTGAGCAAGGAGAACAAGTGCTATTATTCAATTCAAGGCTTAAAATTATTTCCAGGAAAACTTAAGTCAAGGTGGTCAGGACCTTTTAGAGTGGTCTAAGCATTTCCCCATTGAGCTGTTGAAGTTATGGGTGAAAAAGGGAGAGAAACATTTAAAGTTAATGGCCAGAGACTTAAGCATTATTGGGGAGGCCATGCAGATAAGGAAAAATTTGTTATCTCTTTGGAAGAACCTAGCTAAGTCCAAGAAATGACCAAGTCAGGCTGAAGACTTTAAATCGAGCGCTTTAAATCAAACGCTTTAAGGAGGCAACCCTATGAGTCAAAAAATTTTATTTATTTATTTATTTCAACATATTTTATTTTATCTTATGATAGTTTAATTTTTTTAGGAGGCATGTCATATTTTATACTAAGTTTTTAATTTTTGGTTCAGATACAAAAATGGGAAATAAATCCAATGGTGTAATAATGTCACAGCGTCATCACAGGCCACAACAAAGGAGCATTGGGCCAGACAGAATGGGCCGCGCTAAGGCCATTGCAACGAAAGGAAAGGCCCAAGGATGTTACAGAGTGGGTTTTGCTGAGCAACCCAAAAAGTACCGTTGCAGCATTTAAAAGTGAAACGTTGAAGGAGAGAGGGTTATCATGCCCTGCAGTTGAGCAGTTATTTGGGCCAATAGCAATGCTGCAACTGCCCTGAGGCAGTTATAAAAAGATGACAAACTCCCTTGTACACCTATTCTGATTTCTGATCGTGCAAGTACCCATTCTATCTTCATCTTTTACTCTCTCTCAAACCCTAAAAAGAAATTCCACAATATTCCAAAGAGCCAACGTGAGAAATTGAGTTTGGAGTCCCCATTGTTAATCAAGACCGAGAGAAAACAACTGAGTTTGGAGTTGCAGCAATGGAAGGCACAACAACAAGGAGTGGAAAAATTAGGGGGATGAACGTGAAGCATTCTAGCTCCCCGAAGAAATTAGAGGCTATACCCACCTTCATCAACGAAAGGGTTGTAAAGAGGCATGAGGTTATGCTAAAGAGAAATCTATCTTCTGATAGAGGTTTCGTGCAAGTTGGCATATATGCTGGGGCATATGACCCATACATCATCAACATCATCTCTGCACATCAATGGGAGAAATTTTGTCTCCATGAAACTGAAGCAGTAACCCCTATTGTTAGGGAATTCTATGCCAATATGCCTCAAAGCAAATCTACCAAGGTGATGGTCAGAGCAAAAAGTGTATCCTTTAGCATTGCCACCATCAAGAAGGTATACAATCTGACCACTATTGTGGATGAATACCAAGGCCAGAAGACCTCCACTGATGAGGAATTTCTGAAATAAGTCCTTGAGGACTTGTGTGTTGAAGGGACGACATGGACTGAGTCGGCCCAAAAGAATCTCTATTTTCTTAGGAGTGCATTGAAGCCCGAAGCAAGGTGTGGTACCATTTTCTGAAAAGTAGGCTGAAGCCTACTTCCCACACTGAGACTGTGAATAAGGAGAGAGCAATATTGTTCTCTTGTATTCTGGATGGAAGACCCGTTGATGTGGGTCGCATAATTCAAGCCGAAATTGTGGCTTGTGCCAAAGCTGATACTGGCTACCTTTGGTTCCCTAAGCTGATCACCCAGTCATGCTAAGAAGCCAATGTTCCCATTGCTGATGATGAGGAACGATTCCAGATCACAGAACCAATCACAGCCTACACCACTGAAAGGGTCAGCAAGAAGGCAAAAGTACTTGCTGGAGAAATTATATCCTTACCAAAATCCTGAGTGAAGAATGCTGCAGCATCAACCTCTGCAGCAGCAGTTGAAGAAGATGCACTGTGGCAGAAGAGAATTGAAGATAGGCTGAAGAAAATTGAGGTTGGCCAACTGGAGACCAGGAAGGAAATCATGGACAAGCTGAAGAATATGGATAATTTCATCCTATCCCAACTTGGTTTTCTCAACCCCCCCCCCCTGAGCAGAAAGAAGGCCAGAGCAAAGCTGTAGCATCAAAGGAAGAAGTGGATGAAGAAGAAGAAGGTGCAGAAGGAAAAGAAGATGAGGAAGAAGAAGAAGAAGAACAAGAGGAAGATGATGGATCCCTTCTGATTTAAAATTTGATTTGTGAAAAAGAACTTAGTAGGAAATTGCATGTTGTTAGGAGTTATTTTCTGTTCAAGTTTTAATATTCTGTGTGATTTTAGTTTTATTTTGAAGTTAGGCAAAATATAAGAGGAAAATAAGGGACTTAAGAAACAAAGTACTGATGTTGAGCTAAAAATGCTATAGGGCTTAACTTAACAATAATAAGGTACTGCTATATCTCTGCATGTTCTGTTATAATCTGCATTGCTACAACAGTATGTAAAAAATGAAAGTCAGTGATCTTAGGGCAAAGTCTAAATGGATGCCAAAGTAGGACTTAAAAGCAAAAACCAATCAAGGTGAAATGCCAATGGAGGGATCATCTAAGCATAAGGAATTGATTGGAGGCAAGAGAAACCAAGGAGTGAATTGCGAAAGAAGGCTTAGGATTCAACCATTTGTTGGGTTTGAATCCTATCACATGAGACAAATTTGAAGCTATAAGGGTGAAATAAGCCAAGCAACAAAGTTGCCAATGCACAAAGTGTTATTCCTCAGGAAAAAAATGGAATCAAAAGAAAAGTAAAAAGAAAAAGAAAAGAGGTGAAAACCCCAAAAATAGAATAAATACAAAAGCACAAGACAAAAGAGGAAGGCAAAGCTAAAAATAAAAGATGCAAGGTGGACACTCGCTCCTTCAAGTCTGGTACACATGGTGTGGATTCAAGTTTAACAGAGTATGAGTCAAGCAACTAAGCCTTATGATTCTCAGTTTGAAGCTCCAAGGTGGATCAACCTAAGAAGGAAGTTCCTAGCACACACACACTTGTCTATCTAAAAGCTATGAAACCTTGAGAAGATGAAGCCAACAAGGAATACTGAGGTTGAAGTAAGGATGATGGCTAAAGATCAACAATCAACTCCACAATGTTGTAGCAATGCTGCTGCAATATGGAGAATTTCAACAACAGCCTCTGATACAAATGTTACTGACTTGATGATAGTTAAGCCTGAGGAGTGTTTTGTTGCTCGAGGACGAGCAACGTTTTGAGTTTGGAGTGTGATAACTCTCTAGAAGAAAGTTATTTTTGGGCTTAATTGTGATATTTTGGTGCTATGATTACATATAATTCTCTTGATTGTATATGATTAATCCATGAATTCTATGATTTCATGATTTAATTGAGAATCGTGTTAATTATGTATATTTGGATATAAATGGAGCATTGGAAACATTTAAATGCATTTTTTATTTTACTGCAGGTCAATGCTCTAGCATCGAAAAGTAGTGTTGTAGCAGTGTAGCTGAGGTCAGCAAGACATATTGTTGACATCATCACCAGCAAGCTATGGATCCAAGCCCAATTTGATGGAAGAAGCTTCTGAACGTGTAATCAAAGACCTGATCTGGGTACGCGCTCAAAGACATTCAAGAAATCACAATCCAATTTTCATGAAATCAATGATTACAAATCCAATTCAGATTTGAATCACAAATTTGGAAAGAATCTAATGAGATATGCAGCAGCATGCTCTGTCAACATTACAGCAAAACAGAGTCCTATTCTCATTCAATCACAAGGCAGATTTGAGTGAAAATTTGCATGGACATGAAGAGCTGATTGAAGCCCAGAATATCAAAGTATATAAAGGAACGAACCCTACACACAGAAGACATGCTGGATATGTTTTAGACACCCAAATTGAAGTCAGATTTTAGTGAGAGAAAATGGGGAAACACTTGGAGGAATTTGAGGGTTCGTTGAGAGAAATATAGTGAATCAAAGGGAGGAGCTAGAGTTCAATTGAGAAATCATTGAACCCAGTAATTTGCTGCATTATTCTGGAGGCTGAGGCAAGGTTGATGGTGGTGGAGCTCATGGTTGCTGCGAGAGCAGTGCTACAACAACATCCCTGCTTTCTTTACTTTAGCTTTATGGAATCCTATTCTTTCTTTGTTGTTTCTTTCCACCCAATTATGGGCTAAATTGTTAGGATTGGGTGATAGAGTACCTTATTGTGATGTAAACAGTATTGCCTAAACTTTGTTGCATGATTTTCGTTTTATTTGCTTAATAAAGTGTTAAATTGTCTCTAATCTTGTTGATTCATCGAGAGAGGGTTGCAAAGTACTTAAGATTTAGGCTTTAGAGATATAGGTGAATCCTGAATATTATTAAGCATT